CGGAGCTGTGCCGATCCGAAGCCAGGAGCTTCTTCCAGGTCTCCCACACGGGCGCAAGGGCCCAAGGACTTGGACCATCTTCCGCTGCCTTCCCAGCATGGAATGGGATGGAAGTGGAGCAGCCAGGACTCAAACCGGTGCCCATATGGGATGCTGGCCCTGCAGGTGGCGGCTTTACCTGCTACGCCACAGCGCTAGCCCTTAGGCACTCTTGATTATAGGGTGTGGATGTCCCAAGTGATGTCTTAACTACTATGCCACACACTTGCCCCCAGAAATTATTATAGGAATTTATAGCACAGAGGGATTCCATAGGCCTGAAGAAGAATGTTACTGATGATCTTTCTTGTGTGGTTTTAGGCCAGCAGTATCCAATGAAACTTTCTACAATGGTAGCCACGTGTGACACTTGATGTAGTTAGTGTGACTGAAGGACTGCATTTTTCATTTTAATAGTCATATATGTCTAGTGGTTACTTTATTGAACAATGTGGTTGTGAAATGCTATTTTTCAGGAAATATCCTCTTACAAGAAATAGTGAGACTTGACAGCTGAGCTGGCCTTGGGGCAAGTTCATGTTTTCTGTCCTTCCCTTCCCTGTACAGTGCCTGCAGCACCTGGCAGAAGAGCCAGGGGGTGCGTGAGCCTAGCGCAGGGCAGCCATTTAGTGATGAGCTCTTCTAGTCATGTACCATATTCTTTGTTTTTCTTTCTCTTCATTTTGCTGTAAAATTATATGGTGAACAGTAAGGCATATACTTAAATAGTCCAACGTTTAAGGTGAACCTTGGAAGGTATGTTATTTCAATTCTAAGGCTGTGCAGTGTTGTTCAAAGGAGGTCTAGTTAAGTCCCCCAATTTTATTGATGAAGAAAAGCAAATTTTCTTTCTGCACTTCAACAGCTCTTGAGTAAGGAATGGTATAATTACTTTCATTAAAGTGTCCATTAAAGATTTATTGAAATTTTCTTCTCTAGAGTAGTAGTGTTTATAATTTTTGACATTTCAGATTGTTATAATGAAGACATTTCCCTAGCCTTCAGACAGTTAAGTGTTCCAGTAATTCAGATGACTATGCTTGTATAAAACTGCCTGTCGGTTTTATCTTTTCATTTCTTAATCATTGCATGGATGTAGTGGTTGCTTTTATTATTGTTTCCTAGAGGCAAGGTCAGTGTCAGAGAAATTATGAAATTTTCCCTTGGTATTACTGTGGTAAGTAGACAACCGCTATTTATAGGGACTTTGTTGAAAAACGAGATATCCTGCTTGGCTTACCATAAAAACACAGATGCTTCTAGTTTCTAGTAGGGAGGCCTTTTGCTCATGGCATCTGTTTTAGTTGGCCAGCCAGATGACGTCTGCAGATTTTTTCATTCTTTTTTGAAGTACATTTAACAAGTAAACAAGTTTATAAATGAAAAGGTTAGATTAGCATTTTGTAAATTTTTATTACTTTGGCTATATCAGTTCGGTGTAATTTTAAACTATTACATAATTTTAGTTTAATTATGTAACTTTCTAAATAATCTTGAAATGATCAGTCTGTGTACGGTTTTGGATTGTTTATTCTACAGTTGAGTCAAATTTGTATTGATCTGTAAGTTTATGTATTCAATAAATGTTTAATGAGTACTCACTGTGCCAGGCTCTGCACTGGCCTTGGGAGCTATGGACTTGAACAAGGTGAAGTCTCAGTTCCTGAGAGGCTGATTGCCTTGCATGCGGTGTAAGCATGTAGCCCTACAATTGAGTTAACACCTTGGTAGTAGGCACTCCACTCTAGAGCACCCAAGACTCCGTCTTGAGAAATCACCCCCCACCCCCCAGCATGAGCCTGTGATCTGAAACTATGATCTAACAGTACACTGCATCCCACTTGGCAAAACATGGAAACTCCCTAGCATAATCACTCAAGCTTAAAATAGGCTACACCTGGATTTATGTTAAGATTGTAATTTGTCTTTTGTCGGGATTGTAATTGATATTAGTTTTGCATAGGCCTTAGGTCAGCTTGACCCTAGTCAAGTATTGCCTCCTTCACCCCCAGTCCTAGCAACCATGTGTTCCCCCTCCTCTCCTTGTGGTTTTTGCCTTTATAAACCCTGTTGCTTTGAGCTTCAGGGTCAAGAGTTCTTTAGGGCAGGAGCCTGCTTTCCACTGCTGGCAATAAAGGACTGGCAAACTTTATCAATGTGTAGTGCTCCTCTGTTTGCACTTGGTCAGGTACAACACAATAAAAATGGTGCTTCCAATTGAAGTTTATTACATCAGTCATTTAGGAGGAGCAGGTATCTAGGACGATTTGGTGGTTAAAGTATCATCTAAGCTGAGATTGTAGCATAGGTAGGAGTTGGCCAGACAAGGAAAGGCCTGGGGTTGTCAGAGAGAGAATATAAAGGGAAGGCGCTCACAGGTGAGAGAGACTTGTGACATCCTGAGACCCTCTGTGCAACCCTTCGGTTCTGACGTCCTTGCAGCAATAGTTTACCTGTGAATGGAGCAGTCAAGGACCTTCTTAGTAACTTTCTTCTGGAACTCTTTTTTTTTTGAAATTCTATTCAAAGTGCTCATTCCATCAGTGGTTACAGTTTTCCCATCAAGCACGTTATTTTATTTACGTTTGAGAGTCTATCCTTTTCAATATATTGTTCCTGAGTATCTCACAAAAAAAAAAAAATCAGTTTTTGGTGTATTTCATCATTGCTAAGCAGATGAAAGAGACACCTGTATTTTGACCCAACTATACAACATATTTTTTGTATTGTCATTTGCCATATTACCTTCTCTTAAGGGTTTTCTAAAGAACTTTTGACTGTATTTATCAATGAAAAAATATATTTCGTTTGTTACCATTTTGTTTTCCCATATAGGTGCCAGTTGGAGTCCTGGCTGTTCCACTTTCAATCCAGTTCCCTGCTAATGCTCCTGGGAAAGCAACAGAGGATGGCCCAAGTGCTTGGGCCCCTGTACCACCTATGTGGGAGACCCAGATAAAGCTCCTGCCTCCTGGCCTTGGCCTGGCCCAGTCCCACCCATTGCAGCCGTCTGGGGAAGGCTGGAAGATCTCTCTCCCTCTCTGTCTCTCTCTAACCCTGAATTGCAAATAAATAAATAAGTCTTTTTTTAAAAAAATTTTTTTAAAGATTTATTTATTTGCAAGAGTTACAGAGAGAGGCAGAGAGAGAGAGAGATCTTCCATTCACTGGTTCACTCCCTAGATGGCTGCAATGACCAAAACTGCGCCAATCTGAAGCCAGGAACCTGGAGTTTCTTGCGGGTCTCCCATGCTGGTACAGGGGCCCAAGGACTTGGGCCTTCTTGTACAACTTTCCCAGGCCATAGCAGAGATGGATTGGAAGTGGAGCAAATGGAACTCGAACCAGTGCCCGTGTAGGATGCTAGCACTGCAGGCAGAGGCTTTACTTGCTATACCACAGCACCAGACCCATTATAAATCTTAAAAACAAAAATAACTAGCTTGGTCTTAAGGATTGAAGAATGAACACTTTAGTTATAAATCAATTATGACTGATTGCCATAGCTCAAAAGGAAACCCAAGAGAAGGATAGAAAGGTTGTGAGTTAAATACATTCTGTAAAGAAATGTTTTGTTAGTAGCTATTGACTAAAAAGGCTGTTACATTGCTGTTTTTAAGCCACTTGTGCATGTGTCTGTGTGTCCTGTAATTATTTTTGCTGAGAGATAAGCATTGTCCATTAGTATCCATGGCCCTCTGATACCCAATCCAAGGAACTCCAGTCCCTCATGGTATTTGTATAACTTTTTTTTTTTAAAGATTTATTTATTTATTTGAAAGTCAGATTTACACACAGAGAGAAGGAGAGGCAGAGAGAGAGAGAGAGAGAGAGAGAGAGAGAGGTTTTCCATCCACTGGTTCACTCCCCAATTGGCCACAATGGCCGGAGCTGTGCTGATTTGAAGCCAGGAGCCAGGAGTTTCCTCTGGGTCTTCCCATAAGGGTGTAGGAGCCCAAGGTCTTGGGCCATCCTCCACTGCTTTCCCAGGCCATAGCAGAGAACTGGATCAGAAATCAAGTAGCCGGGACTTGGAACTGATGCCCATATGGGATGCCAGCACTGAAGGCAGTGGCTTTACGCACTACACCGCAGCGTAGCCCCAGTATTTGTATAACTTACGTGTATCATCTTGGTAACTGTTGTAAACCATTCCTAAGTTACTTGTAATACCTAAGGCAATGTAAATTTTCTTTATTGTTTAAGGAATTAAGATAAGAAAAAAAGTCTGTACATGATCAGTACACAATTTTTCAAATATTTTTGATCTGCAGTTGGTTGAATCCATGGATGCAGAACATATGGAGGGAGAGTCCTGACTGTACTTGGAAGAAGTTTTATTTATTTAAATTATAGGAGATAAGGTTAATATCTACTTGTGATCTCTTACAAAAAGATATTTTTCCATAATATACCTTGTCATATTTATTGAATTTGCATCATTGCATTTTTATCAATCAATAGTCTTTGGAAGAGATGGAAAAACAATTCAAATAAGCTTGAACAAAAAGAAGTATATTGGCTCATAACCAAGGTTCAGAACTGTTCTCAAGAATTTTGATTTGATTGTCAGGTCTGTGTTTCCAGGTATTAGTGTGTCTTTGTCTCTGTCAGCCTTGTTTTTCTTGGTAACACTTTCACTGTCTTTGAGAGCAGAAAGTCTTCCTCCGTGTGGTGTTGTGGAAGGCAAGAGTGTTTCTTCCAGCACCTATGTACAGAAAAGCCCATGGGTGAATGGAGTGTATGTGGTCGCATCTGTGCTGTGGCAGTCCCACAAAACCATGTGGAAAGGGGAAGGAAGTTACCCAAAGGGAGGGCTTGTTGTTATCACAGAGGAAAGGATGCTGGCCATCAAAAACTGTAGGTATTTATAGCGACGACTGGAGGACAGGAAGGCATAAGATATTCCTTAAGGTAATCAAACATGACAATTTTATTTTCCTAATCATTGATTCTTACAGAGCATGCAAGCTGCAAGATGTCCTACGGATGAATTATCTTTAACCAACTGTGCAGTTGTGAATGAAAAGGACTTCCAGTCTGGCCAGTGAGTATCTGACTTTCTTTTCTTCTAACTTGGTTAAGTGGTATTTTCAAAATTTCTGAGGTTATTTTTAAAAATTTCTCTTGCTAAGTTGGAAAAGGAAGATGAGAAAGAGTTATATATTTCAAGCAGAACTGTGTCAAACTTTGATAAATATAATGGTTTTAAAACCACACATAGCTTTCTAGATATAACTTCTTATTCATGGATTTTCTTAGAAGAACTATATATATATGTATGTATGTATAGATATGTATACTAATTATGTGAATCATACATAGCATAGCTATAGGTATTTAGCTCTGGAGTCTGAGTTTGAATTCTGACTGCCAATGACAAATTGGGTTCCCATGTGTAAGTTGTTTACCAGCTCTGTGCCTGCGTGTCTTGATCTGTGAAATGGGGATAATGGTAAGTTACATAATCAAAGCACTTAGAACAGTGCTCAATGTGTTAATAAGCCCTCGATAAATATTAGCTGTTCTGATCATTATTACTATAGTAATCCAAGAGACACAAAAATTGGAAAATGCACAACAAATGTAGCATATTTAAAAGCATTTTTCATCATTATTTATTTATTTATGTATTTTTTAAAGATTTATTTATTCATTTGAAGGGCCGAGTTATAGAGAGGCAGGCAGAGAGAGGTCTTCCATCCGCTGGTTCACTCCCCAGATGGCTGCAATGGCCAGAGCTGGGCCAATCTGAAGCCTGGAGCCAGGAGTTTCTTCCGGGTCTCCCACATGGGTACAGGGGCGCAGGACTTGGGCCATCTTCTACTGCTTTCCCAGGGCACAACAGAGAGCTGAATTGAAAGTGGAGCAGCTGGGACTTGAACCAGTGCCCATATGGGATGCTGGCATTGCAGGCGACGTCTTCACCTGCTATGCCACAGCACTAGCCCCTATCAGAATTTATTTTAACTGTTTCATATCATGCCTTGCCAGATCTTCTAGAGAAATTTGCTACCAAGTTCAGTGCCATCCATATGCTTCTAAGTTTTGGTATCACAAGGCAGTTTAGAGAGATAAAGAGCCAAGGAGGCAGGATTTTAACTGAGGTTTTTTTGTTGTTTGTTTAAAGCTGTTGTGAAAAGCATGAGTTTCACAGAATTAGAATTAGTAATTATCTACAGTTTTCAGCTTCAGAGGAAGAGGCTCTCCCACATAAGTGTGATTATTTCCAGTGCTAAAAATTCTATGATTGTGCTAACTTGAACACAGGATTTTCAACAAATAAAACTCAAGTATAGATAAGCAATGGTGAGAACTCTTTATAGAATTTTTACCTATGTCAGGTATTCACTGTACTCATGATAACGTTACTAAAAATAGATAAAAGGAACTTATGTTCTAGTTAGGCGATAAGTAGAGGAACCTTAGCCATTAACATTAAAAATTATAGCATTCTAAAAGATAGTTTTTATTTTTTTAAAAAGATTTATTTTATTTATTCAAGAGGCAGGGTTACAGACAGAGAGAGGGGGAGAGAGATAGAGATCTTCCATCTGATGGTTCACTCCCCAGCTGGCTGCAATGGCTGTAACTGAGCTGATCCAGAGCCAGGAGCCAGGAGCTTCTTCCGGGTCTCCCACGTGGGTGCAGGGGCTCAGGAGTTGGGCCATCTTCCACTGCTTCCCCAGGCTATAGCAGAGAGCTGGATGTGAAGCAGAGCAGCCAGGATGTGAAATGACACTGATATGGGATATTGGCATTGTGGGTGGCAGCTCGACCCACTGCACCGCAGTGCCAGCCCTGACAGTTCTTTCCCTTTAATTTTTTTTTTAATGAATTCATTTATTTATCCAAAAGTAAGAGAGGAAGAGAGAGAGAAAGGGACCTTCTATCTGCTGGTTCGCTCCCCAAATGGCCACAATGGCCAGGAATGGACCAGGCCAAAGCCAGGAGCCGGGGTCTCCCACATTGGGCCATCCTCTGCTGCTTTCTGAGGCACAGTAGCAGGGGGTTGGATTAGAAGTGGAGCAGCCGGGACTCGAACCAGGGCCCATATATGGGATACCAGTGTTGCAGGCAGCAGCTTTACCTGCTATACCATAGCACCGGCCCTTCCCTTTAAATTTTAAAGAGTATTTATTTGAAAGGCGGAGTTATAAAGGCAGAGGTAGAGAGAGAGGGAGGGAGGGAGACAGAGAGAGAGAGAGAAAGAAAGAGAGGGATCTTCTGTCTGCTGGCTCGCTCCCCAAGTGACCACAATGGCCAGAGCTGAGAGAGAGAGAGAGAGGTCTTCCATCCACTGGTTCACTTCCCAAATGACCACAACGGCCAGAGGTGCGCTGATCTGAAGCCAAGAGCCAGGAGCTTTTTCCGGGTCTCCCACATGGGTGTAGGAGCCCAAGGACTTGGCCATCTCCCACTGCTTTCCCAGGCCAGAGCAGAGAGCTGGTTCGGAAGTATAGCACAGCTGGGACTCAAATCGGCGCCCTTTGGGATGCTGGCACAGCAGGCAACGGCTTTACCCACTCGCCACAGCGCTAGCCTCTACAGTTTTTAAACATTTATTTTATTGTGGGTGGAAAGACAGAGCTGCCATTTGCTAATTCCCTCCCCCAAACGCCTGCAATGATCAGGGCCTTGCTGGACTGGCCCAAAGCCAGGAGCTAGGAACACAGTTCAAGTCTCCCACGTGGGTGACAGGAACCCAATTACTTGAGTTGCTGTCTCCCAAGACCTTCATTGGTAGAAATCAGAGCTGAGGACTGAACCTAGGTACTCCAGCGTGGGACTCAGGCATCTTAACCTCCAAGCTAAGTGGCCTTTCTGCTGACAGGTTTTGGAAACTAAATTTGTACTTGTGTTCCCTCAAGTCTCCCGTACGGTTTCATTTCCACCTGGTGCTCCTCAGACATCAGTCTGGGGAGAAACACGTTGAAGATGACGTTCTTGTTCCCTTTGATGTGGAGTGCTGACTGCATCTCTGTCTTTCAGGCACGTGGTTGTGAGGACCTCCCCGAATCACAGGTACACGTTTACACTGAGGACCCACCCGTCGGTGGTGCCCGGGAGCATTGCCTTCAGCTTACCCCAGGTAACTCAGGTGTTCCCTTGAAAGTCGCAGAAAAATCAGTTCATTCTAAGCAAGCACCGCCCTATGACAGCATTGTTTCATATTTGAAGAAAATACGTAGGTATTATGGAAGGAATTTTAAGATATATTCTTTGTTGTCATTTTTCTTTGGCTGTCTTTTATTACTTTGAGTTTTTTTTTGAATTTTTAAAAGTTTCAAAGTATCAGCTATCAGCTAAAGGGTGAGGGTGTTTTAATGTTACCTCCTAAGATAACAGAAGAGATATAAAAGTAATACTCGATTTGTAAAAAATAACATGTATTAATAGTGATTTTATAGTGCATTAGTGTCAGACTAAAGAATGAAAACTGCAGTTGACTCAAATTACAACCTAACTTGCTGGACCCCTGGAACAACTGGAACGGTTCTGATTACAGTTGGAACCATCAGTAGATTCTGTGGACTCCACAGAACTAGTTTGCCTAGTGCTGTCCCAGACGCAGAACACATGGCACAGGAGCACCACAGATGCTTGTCTGCATCCTTTCCTCCCTCCTGTCCTGCTGGCTACTGGCCCTCTGCTTCCGAGCATTGGAAATGCCTTCCCTGCCTACTTCTACTATGCAGCACGTTCATTTCCTTCCTTCCAAGTTTAGGGAAAGAGAGCAAGCACCAGTTTGGGAACTACTAAAGATCTCTCGAAGCCCTCAAAAACTGTGGAAATCTTCAGTATTCCCCCTTCCCCTGTTTGGATGCCTCTTCATTATTAGGACTACTTTTCACATTTGTTCTATAGATTAAAAGTTGGGATACAATAGGATTCACCATTGGGATTACCAGTGGTCAGAAAAAGCTTTAGGTGCAGTAATTTCTCTTTGTCTTTCTACTTTGTTAAAAAAAAAAAAATCCTCCAAATCCCTACCCCAGTTTGCTGTAGGCCAGGCATTATTCTGCGTATCTTTGCATTTGCTATTTCACTTTATTCTCAAAGCAGCCCCGTACTAACATTATTACCATTTGAGGCCAATAGAAGTGCAGAACCTAAAATTTGGCTATTGTGTGACCCCAAAGTCTGGGTTTAACCAGCATTCTGCTAAATCTCAGCTTGACTGGACCAAGTCTTACAAGGCCAGGGAGGAGAGAAATGTGACCTATGTTAAGAAAGGTGGCAGAGGCCGGCGCCGTGGCTCAATAGGCTAATCCTCCGCCTGCGGCGCCGGCACACCGGGTTCTAGTCCCAGTCAGGGCACCGGATTCTGTCCTAGTTGCCCCTATTCCAGTCCAGCTCTCTGCTCTGGCCCAGGAGTGCAGAGGCGGATGGCCCAAGTGCTTGGGCCCTGCACCCGCATGGGAGACCAGGAGAAGCACCTGGCTCCTGGCTTCGGATCAGTGCGGTGCGCTGGCCGCAGCGCTCCAGCCGCAGTGGCCATTGCGGGGTGAACCAACGGTAAAGGAAGATCTTTCCCTGTCTCTCTCTCTCTCACTGTCCACTCTGCCTGTCAAAAACAAAACAAAAAAAAAGAAAAGAAGAAGAAGAAGAAGAAAGGTGGGAGGGACTGGTGCTGTGGTGCAGCAGGCTAAGCCGCTGCCTTCAAGGCTGCATCCATATTGGAGTGCTGGTTCAGATCCCAGCTACTCTGCTTCTGATCTGGCTTCCTGCTAATGTGCCTGGGAAAGCAGCAGAAGGTGGCCCTAGTACTTGGACTCCTACAACCACATGGGAGACCCGGATGGAGTTCCTGGCTCCTGGCTTTGGCCTGGCTCAGGCCCAACCCTTGTGGCCATTTGGGGAGCAACCAGGGATGGAAGATTTCTTTCTTTCTCTGTCACTCTTTCTTTCAAATAAATAAAATAAACCTTTAAAAAAATTGGAAGAGAGGGCTGATGCCGTGGCTCACTTGGTTAATCCTCCACCTGTGGTGCCAGCATCCCATATGGGCGCCAGTTCTAGTCCTGGTTGCTCCTCTTCCAGTCCAGCTCTCTGCTGTGGCCCGGGAGGGCAGTGGAGGATGGCCCAAGTGCTTGGGCCCTGCCCCCACATGGGAGACCAGGAGGAAGCACCTGGCTCCTGGCTTCGGATTGGCACAGCGCCAGCCGTAGTGGCCATTTGGGGGGTGAACCAATGGCAGGAAGACCTTTCTTTCTGTCTCTCTCTCTATCTATAACTCTACCTGTCAAATAAATTTTAAAAAAAATTGGAAGAGAGAGTATACATATTCAAGTGCAGCATTTTCTAAAATCCACAGTATTCAGATGAGTAGGCAAACTATTTTCAGCCAAAAATTATTTTTCTCACTGTTCTTTGGAACATTGTCAGTAATCGCTTGTTTTGAATCTGTACCAAGCCAGCCCTGAATGCCTGCCTAAACACAATCTGGCCTGCTTTCACACATTCTTGCTAGTGTAACCAGGCAGCATGGGGGAAGTTTAAACTTGGGCTGTAAATGCCTGAAACTCCTTACTAGCACGTGAGGAATAGTCATGACCATCTCGTGATCGAGTCCTTGCTGCGGTTCAGTGTAGTTTATCTGACCTGATAAAGCTTGCTGTAGAAAGGTAAGCTTTGTATGTTTTGGGACAAGTTTTCAGATATAAACCGTAGTGTATGCATTAGTTTCCTAGAGCTGTTATAGCGTAGAACCCTAGATGGGGGAGGGGAGAGGGCTGAAGCCACAGAAATTCATTCTGTCTCAGTTCTGCAGAAGAGTAGTCTGAAATCAGTCTGAAGGTGTGAAGGGGAGAATTTGTTACACACTTAGCTTCTGGTTCTGTTGATAAACCCTGATGTTCCTTAGCATGTAGATTCATCACTTCCATCTCTGCCTCTGTTATCACTTGGTGTTCTCCCTGTTTCTTTTTCTCTAGGACACCAATCATCTTAGCTTAGGGCCCACCATAATTCAATATGGCTTTATTTTAATTGATTGACTCTACAGAGAGCCCTTTTTTTTTTTTTTTTTAAGAATTATTTATTTATTTGAAAATCACAGTTACACAGAGAGAGAAGGAGAGGCAAAGAGATTGAGAGGTCGGTCTTCCATCTGCTGGTTCACTCCCCAGTTGGCTACAGTGGCCAGAGCTGCACCAATCAGGAGCCAGGAGTTTCTTTCAGGTCTTCCCATGCAAGTGCAGGGGCTGAAGGACTTGGGCCATCTTCTACTGCTTTCCCAGGCCATAGCAGAGAGCTGGATCGGAAGAGGAGCAGCCGGGACTAGAACCGGTGCCCATATGGGATACCGGCACTGCAGGCAGCAGCTTTATTTGCTGCGCCACAGCACCACCTCCTCCCCCTTTTAAAGATTTATTTATTTGAAAGCAGAGTTACACAGAGAGAGGAGAGGTAGAGGCAGAGAGAGAGAGAAAGAGAGAGAGGTCTTCCATCCACTGGTTCACTCCTCAATTGGCTGCAACGGCCAGAGCTGCACCAATCCAAAGCCAGGAGCCAGGAGCCAGGAGCTTCTTCTGGGTCTCCCACGTGGGTGCGGGAGCCCAAGGACTTAGACCAGTTTCTACTGCTTTTGCAGGCCATAGCAGAGAGCTGGATCGGAAGTGGAGCAGCTGGGATTCGAACTGGCGCCCACATGGGATGCTGGCACTGCAGGTGGTGGCTTTACCCACTATGCCACAGCGCCATCCCCAAGAGCCCATTTTTAAAGTAGAGTTGCACTGGGGTGGGCGCATGTTGCAACAGTTAAGTTGCTGCTTGGGTTTCCTGCCTGATTTGAGTCCCTGCTACTCCACTTCTCATCCAGCTTCCTGCTAATGTGCACTCTGGGAAGCAGCAGATGATGACTCAAATCCTTGAGTTCCGCCACTCACATGGGAGACTCAGATTAAGTTCCAGGCCCCTGGCTTTAGCCTGGCCCAGCCTTGGCTGTTGCAGGCATTTAACAAATGGAAGAACTGTGTGTGTGTGTCTATGTGTGTCTATGTGTATCTGTCTGTCTGTCTGTCTGTTTCTCTCCATCCATCTGTATCTCTGCCTTTCAAAAGCAATGAAAACACAAAATTTTGAAATTCAGTCACTTTCACAGTTACTGGGTACGAAGAGTTCAACATAATTTTGGAGAGGGAGATAAACATAACATAACGTACCATAACATAACAACATATGCTTTTGTCGTGGAATGTATTCATTCTAAGAGGAAATTAGAAGTTTATAGAAATTTCTCTTATATTCATTTCTCCAATTTTGACGGACTGTTTTTAAGTGTCTTTTTTTTCCTCTTACTTTACAGCGAAAATGGGCTGGACTTTCTATTGGCCAAGAAATAGAAGGTAGGTGTATGTTTTTAGCCACCAGAGGTAGATTTTCTGCATGATTTTCTCAAAGTCATTGAGATCTATACAATTTTCCAATACTGATTATCAAGCCTTAAAAATTCATTTCTATTCAGAGTACTGGTTAGATCTATGAGAATGGAAAGGAAAGAGTTACTCATCTACCTCTTTTCTCAATGAAGTGTGTCATGAGGTCATCAGCATTAAATAGGGAAGATAAGGAAAGCAATTCATGACTTAAGGGAAGATTACTAAGCTATTTATGGGTAACAAGCCCACAGTCTAAATAAATAGATTAAACTTTAGCTTAATGTGTTTGCAATTATACTTTGATTTTAGAATTACAATCCTTGTTTTTGTTTTTTTTTTTTTTTGTTTTTTTGTTTTTTTTGTTTTTTTTTGACAGAGTGGACAGTGAGAGAGACAGAGAGAAAGGTCTTCCTTTTGCCGTTGGTTCACCCTCCAATGGCCGCCGCGGCCGGCGCGCTGCGGCTGGCGCACCGCGCTGATCCGATGGCAGGAGCCAGGTACTTCTCCTGGTCTCCCATGGGGTGCAGGGCCCAAGCACTTGGGCCATCCTCCACTGCACTCCCTGGCCACAGTAGAGAGCTGGCCTGGAAGAGGGGCAACCGGGACAGAATCCGGCGCCCTGACCGGGACTAGAACCTAGTGTGCCGGCGCTGCAAGGCGGAGGATTAGCCTAGTGAGCCGTGGTGCCGGCCTGCTTTCTTGTTCTTAATTTACGAAATAGATTTTTGTCCATCTCTTTATTTTTAGCCTTTTTGAACCACTAGGTTTCAAATGTGTCTGTTGCCTGCAGTTTGGAGTTGGATTTTGCTTGTTGAGCTAATCTGAAAATCTTTTCCTTTTAATACATTGGTTAAATTGTCAGTCACCATATGACTGATCTCAATTCTGCTGCTCTGTTGTAATTATGTTTCTATATTTCATGTCTTTGCAGTTTTAACAATTTTCTTTTGGTATTTGACAATGTTTCTGTTTGTTTTAATGGTCGCTTTTTGTAGTTATACCTCTCAGAGAGCCCTTTGTCTCCTTTTCACTTCTGTAGCCTTTGAAAGAGTCAGCTCTGTCAGTTCTAAGTGCTGTCTCATCTCCTGCCTGATCAGTAGTCAGAGAGGAGGGATATTGTACTGTCCCCCTTTGCCTCTCGCCTACCATTCCGTTAGTTGCTTTCTTTCTACTTCGTGAGACCATATGGTATTTATGTGCTCTTCTTCCACACGTGACCCTACTGTGGTTTACTCTTAACACTGCAATTAAGTCTCTCAAATAATCAGGATCCATCCTTTCTCTAATGTCTGTCTGGTTACATGAAACCTGTCCTCTCGTGGGTTCTTCCTGGAAGACATGTGTGTCCAGTGTTCTGATTCTTGCATATGCAGGCTACTTTCTATATCTGTAATATTTGAAGGAATAGCTTGACGGAACATAAAATTCTCAGATTGTCTTCCTTCCTTGAATTTCTTGAAAATGCACATTCAATTGCTTTGTTTTTTAAAAAATTATTTGAAAGGCAGAGTTAGAATCTTCTAGTTCATTCCCCAAATGCCTACAACAGCTAAGACTGGGCCGGGCTGAAGCCAGGAGCTAGGAACTCCATCTAGGTCTCCCACAGGGGTGGCAGGAACCCAGGTACTCTGGTCATCATCCACTCTCTCCCAAATGCATTATCAGGAAGCCGGATCAGAAGTGTGGAGTTGGGGGCCAGCACTGTGGCACAGCGGGTTAAGCACTGTCTGCAGTGCCAGTATCCCATATGGATAGGGGTTCCAGTCCCAGCTGCTCCACTTCTGATCCAGCTCCCTGCTAATGAGCTTGGGAAAACAGCAGAGGATGACCCAAGTGCTTAGGCCTGTGCAACCATGTAGAAGAAGAAGCTCCTGGCTCCTGGCTTCATCCTGGCCCAGCCCTGACTGTTGCAGCCATCTGGGGTATGAACCAGCAGATAGAAGATCTCTGTGTCTCTCTCAGTTCTCCTTCTTTCTAATTCTGCCTTTCAAATATATATATATATATATGTGTATATATATATATATATATATATATATATATATATTTTTTTTTTTTTTTTTTTTTTAAAGTGAGGAGTAGCCAGGCACTCCACTAAGGGATGTGGGTGTCCCAGGCAGCAGCTTAACTCGCTGCACTACCAGGCCTCTCCCCACCTGAATTGCCTTGCTTTGTATAATGATCTTGAGAAATCTGATTCCAGGCTAATTTTCCAACTTTTATAAATAATTAGATTTTTCTGTTTGGGGGTGCTGAGGATTTTTCCTCTTTAAGTCTTAAGATCTTTATTGGAACAGTTTTCAGAATTGGTCATTCTGGGTCAGTTTTCTATGGCATACAGTGCGTCTGTTTATTATATGGACTTGTTTTCTGTCCGGGAAAACTTTCTTAGGGTATGATTTTATTTTATTTTTAAATTTACTTATTTATTTGAAAGAACAACAGAGAGAGGGGGAGAGACAGACCATCTGCTGATTCACTCTCCAAATGGCAGCAACAGCTAATGCTGGTCCAAGCTGAAGCCAGGAGCCCAGAACTCCATCCAAGTCTTCCATGTTTTATGTGAGTGGCAGGGGCTGGCATACTCTTCTGTTGCTTTCCCAGGTACATTGGCAGGGAGCTGGATCAGAATCAGAACAGTGGAACTCAAACCAGCACTCTGGTATGGGATGCTGGTATTGCAAGCAGTGGCTTAAGCTTGTGCACCACAACACCAGCCCCTCAAGGATGGTTTGAAATACTAGTTCTGGTCAAATTGTTCCACTTTTCTTCTTGGGCTTCCAACTATATGTATTTGGACCTTCTTTGTATATCTTCCATTTTCACCACTTTTTGATGTCATACATTTCTTTATCTCACATTTATTATTTTGGTTCTTTTCCTTTTTTCACTACCTCTTAATTAGCTACTCATTCAAATCTATTTTCCCTTGAGCACCCTCTAATTTATTTTTCATTTCTTTAATTGTTTTGTCTTTTTTGCTATTTCTTTCCTGAGTTCAGTGAATTTTCATTGCATTTCTTTATTTCTGTTCTCAGTTTTATGTATATATGTATTTGTTAAAGAGAGCTAATTTCATTTAAAGTATTACAGGGTTTTTTTGTTTGTTTGTTTGTTTTCTATTTCATGGTTCATCTTTTCAGGGAAGACACTTCAACTGAAATCCTGCAGTATTTTATTATTTTATGTTTTCTTTTTATAGTGAATTTATGTGAAAATTTTTTCCTTATTTTTCATGAGTTTGAAGAGAAGGTTATTAGTCCAAGAGCACTCTTCTAGAGACGAGTGGTTTTTCTTAATGAGTAATACCGATGAGCTGGAGGGAAAGCGTCAGGGCCTATTCCCTTAGTTTCTGCACGGTCCTTCATTTTCCCCTCTAACTGCCCCCTCCCCTTCATTGCCACTTCTTTAGGGGCACCACTCCTTCTCTATTTATCAGAGTCTTTCCAGTGATTCTTGGGTGGTGCCATATAGTCCTGTTCACCTGCATGTTCTTTCCCTCTACTGGGAGCTGTAAATTCCCAACTTCATAACATGCTTAGTATTTCAGCATTTGATCTTTGGAGGTGATTTGTCTGTATTTTGTTTATGTGTATCTTCTCTTTCTCTCTCTCTCTTTCTTCAGTGAGAGCTTTGTTTAATTTTGGTGCCTCTTTCTCTATTTGAGTTTCCTGTATTCTGTTTCCTAGTACGGTGGGAAGTGTGGGCTACATGTGGCGTTATCTGTCCTCTTGCTACTCCCATAAGGTTTTAGGAAAATGTGTGGAGATATTCAGATTTGTTGTCTTCTAGACAGCATGCTTTTGAAGAAATTCAAATTTATTGTCACTTTAAACTAGTTAAGAGTGAATAGGTACTTAGAACAGTTCTAGGAACGCAGGCCTCGCCTGGTCTATACAGTAGTAGAGAGGTCAGAAAAGAGACCCTGGTAATGTAGCAAGAGGCCACATCATGCTCATCATATAGGGATGACAATTTATAATAATTGTGGGGGGTATTATTTTTTTATGATTTATTTTATTTATTTGAAAGAGTTACAGAGAGAGGTAGAGACAGAGAGAGAGGTCTTCCATCCGCTGGTTCACTCCCCAGATGGCCGCAACGGCCAGAGCTGCGCTGATCCAAAGCCAGGAGCTTCTTCTGAGTCTTCCACGTAGGTACATGGGCCCAAGGACTTGGGCCATCTTCTGCTGCTATCCCAGGCCATAGAAGAGAGCTGGATCAGAAGAGGAGCAGCCAGGACTAGAACCAGTGCCCATATGGGATGCTGGCTCTGTGGGTGGCGGCTTTATCCACTACACCACAGCGTTGGCCTTAGTAATTTTTTTTCTGAGCTAGAGGGAGCATGAACATTGAGGTTATCTTTAACTGGTTCTTCCTTTTTCTTTGTGGAAGTAGGATGAGGGATGAAATTTGATTGAAGGTGAAAGTAAAAGAAGTTACTTCAGCTGTGGGTAGCTGGTGCCAAGGGTCATGGAATTAATGCTTCCCAGACTTGCCTGAAAGCATTACCTGTGGAGTTTGTTTTTAGAAAAAGACTTCCAGCATTCTCCATTGGGAAGTCTGATTCATGAATCTGTATTTTTAACAGCCACATTTTGGGAAACAGTGACATAAGTGATTCCTGTAACTCTCACCTCTTCACTTGAAGTGTAGTGAGAAGCTGAGACAGTGGAGACATTTAGCACCAAAGGGAGAGAAGTTAGTGCCTGAAGCCAGGGTTCCCTGTCTGCACATGATGGCAGAGGTAACATGAACACCAGCTATATCTGAGGAGCAATTGGGGTCATACGTAGTTTTAGTTTCTAATTTCCTTAAACTTATTTTTCTAAACATATGACTAAGAGCGAGCTTAAATTTAACTTCTAATGTAGGTATTTTCTTTTGTGAAAAGGTATGGAAATTTATCATACATTTAAAAAATTATTTATTTATTTGAGAGGGAGCTAATTTTCTCCACAAATGCC